CTCCCAATGTGGTTTTCTTGGTTCATGCATAAATTGGCTAAGCATACGAACTGAATAAGCTATGTCAGGCCTAGTGACGGTCAAATATATTAATCTGCCAATCAACCGTCTGTATTTACTTGGATCATTCAACTTCTCTCCTTCAGTTAAAGAAAGTTTCAGATTTTGCTCCATAGGAAATTTGTCTGGACGTGCTCCTGTAAGACCTGTGTCTTGAAGGATGTCTAGAGCATACTTCCTTTGAGACATAAAAATTCCTTTTCTAGATCGAGAAAATTCAATGCCTAGAAAATATTTCAAATTTCCTAAATCTTTGATAAGAAATTTCTGGAGTAAACTAGTCTTGAGATATTGAATTTCTTCGAGATCATTGCCTGTCAACAGAATATCATCAACATAGATTAGAACTGCAGTGAAAGAAGTACCTTTACTCTTAGTAAACAAAGAGTAATCTGCTTTGGACTGAGTGTAGCCTGCATTTTGTATAGTTGTAGAAAATATGGAGAACCAATTGCGAGAAGCCTGTTTTAATCCATAAAGAGATTTATGGAGCCGACATACTGTATTCTCCCCCTGTCGGCGAAGACCTGGTGGTAAAGACATATAAACTTCCTCGTCTAGATTACCATGGAGAAAGGCATTTTGAACATCCAACTGATGGGTGAACCATTTTCGAGCAGCAGCAACAGTGAGTAAGCAACGAAGTGTAGTAAGTTTCGCTGTAGGGGAAAATGTTTCTGTGTAATCAATACCTTCAACCTGAGTGTATCCCTTTGCTACTAGTCGAGCTTTATAACGTTCAACAGAACCATCAGAGTTGTATTTAATTTTGTACACCCAACGACAACCTAGTTTGTTTTGCTAACGGGCAGATACTACAATTATGAGAATAACTCGCATTATTAAGATGCAATTGATCAGCTAGAAATTTAAAACGAGAAAAGGAAGGATGACCTAGGCGTAAATGCCACAAATTAGATGACTGAGATACTTGATGAGCTGAAGATTTGATTGGAGATGAAGAAATATGATAGAGACCTCCAAATTGTTTACCCGAGCCAATCATCTTCCCCGTAGCCAAGTCCTGCATAACACAAGAATCAGGATAGAAGGTGACATAACATTTCAAGTTATTGGTAAGTTTGCTGATCGACATTAGGTTTAAATTGAATGAAGGCACACATAAAACGTTGTTTAATTGAAGGTTAGGGCTAAGGGAAATATTGCCAGTATGTGACACACGTGCTGTCTCTCCATTAGGCAAATTTATTGCAGACATGATGGCAGCCTTTGGTTCAGTCATAACAGAAGATTTTGATACTATATGATCCGTAGCTCCACTATCGAGAATCCATGAATTAGAACTCGCAGAGTTAATAGATAATGTAGATATGGGAAACAAACCTGCAACATTGACGTGATTGTCAGAATTACCAGAAGGGTGATGATTGATTGCAGATAAGGCTTGTGCTATCTCTCGTAATTGCTCAGAAGAAAAATTTGGAATGGAATTAGGTGACTGTTCTTCTGTATTCAACTGTGAAACATCGGCCATATTTGCAGATGATCGATATCCACGGTTATTGTGTTGATTGTCTTGTCTTGTCCTTCCAGAATTATTTTTCTGTCGACACCGATCTTCTGTATGGCCCCTTCTATCACAAAAGTTACAGTGAAACTTAAGAATTCGACACTCATTGATTGTATGACCACTTTTATTGCAGTGTTCACACTTTTTGTCCTTGGCGAATTTTGAATATATTGTTTTCTTTTGCACTGCTGATGCAATCGAGAAATTCTCAGTAGGTTCGGAAGTTACCTGACGCTGCATCTCTTCTTGTACAAGTAATGAATAGGCTTGCCTCACATTAGGTAATGGAGACATCATCAATATGTTAGATCTCACCGTTTTATAAGACTGATTAAGCCCCATGAGCAATTGCATCAACTTGTCTTCTTCGCGTTGATCAATATGTATTTGACGTTGATTACAGGTAAATGGTGTGCGGTACGCTTCCAGTTCATCCCAAAGTGCTTTGAGCTTGGTGAAATATGTTGACAGCGCCATGGT